GGGTATTCCAAATTTTCACCATTTCTGGAGAAGATGCCAGAAGGAGTGGAGCGATACATTCCATCTTCACAGCAGATCTTGTGTTAGTAGAAATAATGAGATTTGTGAAATATGAAGAGAACCGGATTCTTTTCTCAGATTTTATAATAGTTTTGGTTATTCAAAACTTTGACCCTTTGTGGGGGAGGTACCATAAGGAGTGGACCGATACATTCCATCTTCACAGTAGACCATGTGTTGATAGAAATAATGTGACGTGTGAAATATGAAGACAGTCGGACTCTTACATCACCTATTATAAGAGTTATAAGTATTGCAAATGTTGACCCCTTGTGAGGGAGATACTTGATAGAGTGGACCGATATTATCTATTTTTTTCACCTGACCTAGCAATGATGCAAATGTTAGGATTTCCAAAGTTGGAGCAAAAACTTGTTCATTTTTTCCTTTCTCTTCTCTTTCCTTTCTCTTTTTGAGCAGTAAAACATTTTTTTTTTTTGAAAATTTCGACCTTTTGTGGGAGAGGTACCAGAAGGAGTGGATCAATATTGTCCATCTTCGAACTCGATCTAAGTTTGATAATAATATTACGATGTACCAAGTTTGGACCAAATCAGATACTACCTTCGAGAGTTATCGTGCACACCAGCAAGACAGACAAACGGGTGGTCAATAGCTATCTGATGGTCGATCGACTCCAAACGTCCGAAAAAAGTTTTGTTCCATAGATACCTAAGGTCTAGGATCGTTATTTCGATGATGAACTTTTTGGGCGTATCAAATGATATGTACCCTCCTTCTCTAGCCATATGGCTAAGGGTATAGAAAGTGTCGTTTTTTTTGCCCCAACCAAATCACCTCAAAAATGTTAACTTCATTGGGTGCTTTTTCAAATTCCTTTTTTCAAAGTTAATTTTTTCAATTATTTCTAATCTCCGTTTTTAAAAACGATTTTTTCGATATGATCTAAAGATAGCACCGGTAGCAGCACACCACAGCACCGTCTTGATTAGCAACACATCGTTGGGGATTTTGAAAGTAATCAGATAAGGATGTTAATGTGGCCAGTCAATCAAACAATCTAAGGCTTGCGGCGTTCTTATCGTTCAATTATAAATAATATTTTGAAACATTTTATTTCATTCCCCATTGATAAGTGTGAAATTCGAAGGTAATTGAAAACGGAAGCAATGTTTTGTAATTAGAAGCGAAGAATCAAAACAGGTTAGGAAGAAGAGGTCGTTTCACGGAATTGAAATGTTCACCCTCAGAATCAGGGAATTATATTAAAAAAAATGTATATCGTAACCGAGTTCTGCCAAATGGAAACGTACGTCCTGAAATTCATTCTATTTGGGCTGATATTGGCCATTATTAAGGATATATAGATGGGAGCTATATCCAAACCATAGCCGATCTCGATATAATTTGCCAAAGGTATTTCCGAGCTCTATGTTATCTGGTACCAAATATCATCGGATCTACCAATATTCAGGTCATTTGGACTCATATTGGCCACTTGGGACAAAATTTAACCCGAAATCGGTAGAAGATATATATGGGAGCATGTGTAAATCTGAGCCGATCTTAATACAATGTGGCTGAGGTATTTCTGGGTTGTATCTGATATCAGGTACCAAATATCATTCTTGTGGGTTGCATATTACGAATGTGAGGGACTTAAACACCAAATCAGATGAGATATATATAGTGGGAGCTATAGCCACATCTGAGTCGATTTTCCCTAAATATGATGTACTTGCTTCTAGACTGAATTCGGTCGAATGTACCAAAATTTAGGTCATTTCGCCTGATATTGGCCACTTGGTGCAAAATTTTACCGAAATCGGTCGAAGGTATATATGGGAGCTATATCCAAATCTTAGCCGATCTCGATAAAATTTTCCAAAGGTATTTCCGAGCTCTATAAGTTATCTGGTACCAAATATCATTATTGTCGAATGCATATTACGAATCTGAGGGACTTGATCACCAAATCAGATGAGACATATATAGTGGGAGCTATAGCTACATCTGAGCCGATTTTCCCTAAATGTGATGTACTTGCTTTTAGACTTAATTGGGTCGAATGTACCAAAATTCAGGTCATTTGGACTGATATTGGCCACTTGCTGCACAATTAACCCGAAATCGGTCGACGATATATATAGGAGCATGTCCAAATCTGAACCGATATTGATACAATTTGGCAGAGGTATTTCTGGGCTGTATCTGATATCTGGTACTAAATATCATTATTGTGGGTTGCATGTTACGAATGTGAGGGACTTAAAATTCAAATCGGATGAAACATATATATGAGAGCTAATGCTATATCTGAACCGATTTTCCCCAAATTTGGTGTACTTGCTTCTAGACTGAATTCGGTCGAATGTACCAAAATTTAGGTCATTTCGCCTAATATTGGCCACTTGGTGCAAAACTTTACCGAAATCGGTCGAAGGTATATATGGAATCTATGTCTAAATTTTAACCGATTCTCACCAATTTCCATAGGGTTCATCCTTGGGCCAAACAAATATTGTTTGGAAAATTTCATCTCAATTGGATAATAAATGCGGCCTGCATTTTGTTCACAAGAAGATATGGACCGGCGAACTTGATGGACTGACTTGCACAAATTGACTCAGAAAGTGTTTCTATAAAGATCCTTAAAAGTAACTATGGGTCTATTCCGCTTCCTTCCTCATGTTACAAACAAATGCACATTGTGGTAAGGGTATAAAAATGTCGAAAAACTAACAATTTTGGAGGTCCTTTATATTTTATATGGAAGATTCTCTGGAGCTCTTTTATGGGTAGAACGATTGCCACAGACAGCGCACCTTCCTAGGGGACTTTGAAGCCAACACATTTTTAAAAATCTTGTGAAAACTCCCTTTTTTCCTTCAAAACGAATCTCCTTCTGGAAATATTGTGTATAGAAGGCGTTTTGTAGCTCTTCCATGGGTAAATATTTCGATACACAGAGTTATTTCAATGGAGATATTGCAGCCAACAAGTTTTTAAGAAGCTACTGGAAATTGAAGCCAGCAAAATTTTTATAGATCTTCTGAAAATTGAAGTCCTTCAAAACAAAGATTTGTAATATGAAGCATCCTGAACCCCTTGTGCTGCAAAATTTCTGTAGACAAAGTACGTTCCAGCAGGATTCTCCAGACAGGAGACTTGTTAAAACCTTCTAGAAATTGAAGAATTTCAAAACAATGAATGCTCATTTCTATCAAATTCAAAACCGACCACTTTTAGATTGGAATTTTGGTCTTTAGGGGCGGGAAATATTTTCTAAAGAAGGTGCTATAGAGTTAGTCTATGGGACTGCTAAAGGATTTCTTCTATGGGTAAAACGTCCGGGAAAATATTTCGATACACAGAGTTATTTCTGCAGCCAAAAAGTTTTTAAAAATCTACTGGAAATTGAAGCCAGCAACATTTTTATAGATCTTCTAAAAATTGAAGTCTTTCAAAACGAAGATTTGAAGTATGAAGCATCCTGAACCCTGGTTGCTGCAAATCTTCTGTAGACAAAATACCTTCTAGCAGGATTTTCAAGCCAAGCCTCGTTAAAACCTTCTGAAAATTAAAGAATTTTAAAACAATGAATTTTCTTTTTTATGAAATTCAAAACCTTCCACTTTAAGATTGGAATTTGGGTCCTTAGCCTCGAAAAATTGTTTATATACATAGTTAGTCCATAGGACTGCTAAAGAATTTCAATAGACAGACCACCTTCTTACAGGATTCTGCAACCAGAATACTTATAAATATCTTCGGGAAATTTTTAGACCCTTGATACTTTTCTTTATAATAAAGTCCAAAAATCTTCCACTCATTAAACTTCCTCAACCCCTTTTAGATTGCGTTTTTACTACTTAACGCCAGGGAATATTTGATAAGCAAGACGCCCTGGAACACTTCCATACATACTGAGCTCCATTTAAGTCGACTCTATAACCAAAAAGTTTTTAAAAATCTTCTGAAAATTAAAGACTACGAAAATGAAGACTTCTCTTGTTTCCTGAAGCCCCTTGAGATCGGAATTTTAACCCTTTGCGTCATGGAATATCACACAAGCCTTCTCAATTTGACAAGAACGTAACAAAACCTTTCACATAAATCTATAAAATAAACTTGATGATAAACGAAACATTAAATTCTCTAATTTGCAACTCACCTCGATTTTCGAAAAAAAACACACAAAATTGCAAAAAAAACATTTGTTTCAAGAACTTTAAAGTTGGAATTTGGCCCCGTACTTGAACTGGATTTGAAAGAATGAGAAAAAAACGGTTCTTCTTTTATGCCAATCAGACAGTCACAGCCTCAGATTGCAAAAAGAATTCAACAACAACAACGAAAAATACACAACAAATAGATGAAGATTTTTTTTTTGGCTGTCGTCTTCGTTGCTGCTGCTGTTGTTTTTGTTGTTGCAGTTGTTTTAGCGATGTTCTTTTATTTTCCAACAAAACACAATATACACACACACAGGCACACACTCTTGGGCACCGAAAAAAAAATACACAAATATTTGACAGGAAAAATCCTCCCATTTATTGTTTGATTTTACTTGCCCCAAACACAATTGGGCATGACTTGAGCAGTGAATTTGTTATTTAAATACAAATTTAACTTAATTTTCTGTTAATTTATTATGAAAATAACCATTAAATCACATTTTTTCTCTCACAATGGGAAAAAAAGGTTTGTTTGATGAAACACATACACGCACGCACACACTCTCTCACATTGTTTGCTCTCTCACTCACAGTTCTCCACTTTTAAAACTCGTCCCTTCGAGAGGAAACAAAACACCAAACTGACATTAGCATCAAAAAAATTGCTGTATTTTTCCTTTTGCTGTATTTCTAACCCCTCTCTCTCATTGACATTTGGCACACAATTCTTGTCTCTCACTGGCTGGCGCTCCTTTCCCTATATATTTTTCTCATACACACCTACTTTCCCCTCATACAGACCTTTCGCTTTTTTTCTTGCTTCTTCTTCTTCCTCGTCGTCGCTTTTTTGCTTGGAGAGAGATTGTTTGTTGGTTTGCTGGGTTTTTCTTTCTATTTTTTTTTTGTTAATTTTTCATATAATCTTTGTGTTACTACAGCGGAAAATTCACATAGATTTTCTTTAAACAAAAGAAAACTTGACTTTTCACTTCACTTGTTTCACTTATTATATTCTGCTTTCTTACAATTGTTATACAAAGTTTTCCACTTATGTTTTCCTTCTTTTTGCAGCAGACAAACGACAAACAAAATATTTTCTGCCTCTCCTTGCACTGGCATAAAGTTCAAATCACAAATATTTCTCGCAGCACAACACAAGTTAGTTGTCTGTTTGCAATTTTGCTACACTTCGGGTTTTAATTTTTCTTTCTTGAAATTTGTTATATTTTATAAAAACTATAAATTTTTCCATCCACCGAGAGACACACACAAACATTTACTTCCACGGTTGCCACAGTTGGTAGATATTTACCAAAATCGGTAACTTTTTTGTTAGTTTTTGCTTTGGTAATTCGATTTTCTACTTTTCCGCTTTTGACTCTCGCTTATGGGACGACAAGAAATAATATGAAATGTCAATGTCGACAAAGACCTATAATTTTATAATCGATTACAAAAAAATCGATTTTGTGATTTTCTCTTTCAACAATCGATTAATTGAAAATCGACTCGCTCTTTGCCTTTACGAATGAGAGAGAACGTAGACAAATGAAAACATAGACAACGAAAAGTTAGTTTTGTCTTTTTTTCCAGGTGGCTCTCATCATATTTTGCATACGCGTTCAAGCCACTCGACTTCGAAAACACATTTTATCGTTTTTCAAGAATTTCACTGGAATATTCCCATATTTTTCGATGTCACACGTACTTTTCACATATCTTTTATTATGAAATAATTTTCAACTGACAAATATCCTACAGTTTTTGTTATTTTTAACATTTTTAAATTGAGTGACTTCAAAATTCCCACTCAAACCCCTGAAACGATATAGATGACATCTGCCATAGACAAATGAAAATATAGACAACGAAATGCTCTCACCGTTTATCTTCGAAAAAAATCGAATCAGCAGATGTCGTCTATATCGTTTCAGGGGTTTGAGTGGGAATATTGAAGTCACTCAATTCTAAAACGTTAAAAATAACAAAAACTGTAGGATATTTGTCGGTTGGAAATTGTTCCATAATAAAATAAATGTGAAAATTACGTGATGACATCAAAAAATTCCGGAATAATCAAGTGAAATTCTTGAAAAACGATGAAATGTGTTTTCGAAGTCGAGTGGCTTGAACGCGTAAATGAGCATGTTGACTATGCAAAACATGATGAGAGCCACCTGGAAAAAAAGACCAAACTAACTTTTCGTTGTCTATATCTTAATTTGTCTATGCATCTGCTGATCCGATTTTTTTCGAAGATGAACGGTGAGAGCATTTCGTTGCCAGATTGCTTGAAACACGCCAACAAGATAGGGTTGTAGAAATCGATTTTGACTGAAAAGAACAGCTGATTACCAATTAAAAAATTGCACTTCCTAGAATTGATCCAAATAATGGTATCCCCCGATATTCGGTACTTTGATGATTTTAGACACATTTTTAAATTTAAAATTGACGGAAATTCTACACAAGGAGTTCTCTGTGAATACTTTACCCCCCGGAAGAATTGTCTATATAGGGCCACATAATCGTATATCCACCATATAACGGTATCTCCCGATATTCGGTATTTTAATAATTTTAGCCACATTTTTAAATTGGAATTGTCTAACAATTCACAGAAGGAGTTCCTTCTGAGTACTTTACCCCCCTGGATGAGAATTGTCTACCTAGATCCACAATATCGTATAGCCCCCACATAACGGTACCTCCCGATATTCGGTATTTTGATGATTTTAGCGACATTATTCCCCGAAGTTCTTTCAAATTTCGTATTTAGAGTACGTAATGGGAACTACAGTCTATGACAGAAAATTGTCTATGCACGTCCAGGGGGTCGATTCTGGTTCTATGAAAATATGAAATGAAAAAATTATTTTGAATTTCGTTTTCATAACAACTTTTCATAATTCGTTTTCATAAAAACATATTTTCCGATTCTGATTCATTTTGTGAAAACAATGTTTCAATTCCGTGTCGCAATGAAACTTTTGTAACTATGTTATTGAAATAATTGTAAAGTTGACGTTCATATGTTAACAGGAAAAAAATAATATTGTCGTAAAATCAAACAATGTACGATAAAAAATGTCAAGTTCCATTATATTATATATCGCAAAGACATAGAATAGAACAAAGGTTAGTACAATTATCTAAAAAAGTTAACATGGAATAAATATAAAATTGTTTAGGAACTCGCTTCGAATTCTTAGACGCAGTCTTCGGGATCACCACAATCCATTTGAAATAGCCACAGAGGAGAGCTTTTTTGAGTTGTATAGGATGCCGAAGCATTTGTGTTTGGAACTCATCGAAGAATTGAAGCCATTTTTGCCGAAATCAAGAAGAGTCCATGCAATTCCATGTCATCTAATAGTACTAAGTTCATTACGTTTTTTTGCTACTGGTAGCTTTCAACGAAGTGTAGGACAAGATAATTTATCCGCTTTATCTCAAACATCCGTAAGCAGATGTGTAACTATGGTTGCTAAAGCTTTGAACAATATTTCACACAATTATATAATATTTCCCAAACAAGAAGATTTCCCAGGACTTAAAATAAAGTTTATGGAGAAATATCAATTTCCAGGGATTATAGGAGTAATTGACGGCACTCATATTAAAATATCTGCTCCAAGGCGTGAAATTGAGCATATATATTACTGTCGAAAAGGAGGACATTCAAAGAATGTGATGATTATATGCGATTCAAATTATATTATTTTGGCAGCTAACGCACGATTTGGTGGTACAGCACATGATTCTTATGTTTGGAGAAGTTCCCAAGCTTGCAGAAGACTGGAAGATTTATATACTGGAGGAGAACGTAATTATTGGCTTTTAGGAGATAGTGGTTACCCATTGCAGGTAAAATATACGAACGTATTATGTGTAGAGATAATAAAGTGTATTCGTTTAATTTACCAAATAGCCGTGGTTGATGACTCCTATACTTTCAACGTGCAATACATCCGAAGAGCGCTATAACATCGCGCACAAATCGACACGAGCTTTAGTAGAAATATGTATTGGTATACTAAAATCAAGATTTCGATGCTTATCAAAAGAAAGGACACTTTACTATAGTCCACCAAAAGCAGGTCTGAAAATAAACGCCTGTTTGGTCCTGCATAATTTTTTAGTTCGGAAAAAGATACCGCATCCGGAAATAATATCAGAGGAAATGAATGACAATGGGGAACAAACAAATGCAACTGCGGATATTTCATGCCGAAATATACCAAGTATTGCAAAAAGGCAACGTTCCGAAATAGTTGAAAACGTATTTGCTCAATAGATAAGAATATATTGAAAAATCAATACAATCATTAAAAAAACAAGTGAAAAAGCAGTTGAATACCGTCCACCATTTGGAAAAAATTTAAAAATTCTCAAAAAAAAAAAAAAAAAAAACAAAAAACTAAATAAAAAGGCAAAAACCGTTACAAAATTTTTTAAAATCTTAAAAATACTATACGAAGACTTGGATCTAAAATTCTGTCTGTACCTATAATGAAGTGTGGGCTTTACCTATACGTGGGCCTAGATAACAAATATTCAATATCAAAAGTCCTGCAGACCAAACACACATTTGAATAAAATTGTATCAATCTACTTCAATTCGTTTGGACGCTAGGGTGATTTCCACGGACAGACAACTTTTATCCACACCTTGCTGATTTGTGTCAAGCTCGTTTCCAAAACAGTTTAAGAATAATCGACATCATTTTTAGTAATGGCTAGAATTTATTTATTATTATGTCAGTAGCCATTATTATTACAAGGTAGAACTTGAATGACTTCCTGTATTCTTTTTAAAAAATCCACTTTTGCTTGTGTATCAGCCTTAATCGCTTCTGTTTGCTCCTTTATAGCTTCAATCTCCCTTTCCTTTAGAGTATTAGACTTTCTCATAGCTTCCACTTTCTCTTCTTCTATTTTAAACAATATTTCAAATTGTGATTCATCAGGATATAAAGCAACCTTCCGTTTTTCTTTCCTTGGTCTTTTTCCTCCCAATTTAATTGTAAATGTGGAATTTTCTCCAGTTTCAAGATCTTCATCCAACTCTACAATTTGGTCATCAAGTATCTCCACCATATCTTCCTGATAGCAAATATCTGATGAGTTATTTTCCACATGTACTCCGGGACTACATAGGAACCCCATCTCCTGAGTTTTATCCCCATCAACCGCTTCTATTTTGGTAATATTTATAATCCTCTGTTCTACTTCAGATAGTTGCTTGATTTTTTTTGGTCCATTAATTCCACTTTTTTGTTCGTCTCTTTTCATCAAAAGGTATTTGGAGCGTGTATGTTGCCTATACGAATGGAAAAAATTGCATAGATAAACGCATGTACAATGACAAACATTGGTTGGTATTAAAATACGTAAAAGCATATCGAGCGATTCCATTTCCATTCTCCGGATCGTTAGATCCATTCTCCCAATTTTGCTCCTCTACAAATAATAATACTTATAACATTCTTCCAAAAAATCTTACTACTATATTTAATATTCTACAATTAAAATAAGTCATACCTCAAATCACTCCAATATTTTCTCCACTTGGCACCATCCTTCATAGTCCCTCCAATAGCATTCAAGCATTCCGCCAATTCTTTCCATTTTTCTTCTCTATATTTTGCACCATCAACAGTACAAAATCTTCAATATACGTATATTTTTATTTTGTAAAGAAACATGATTTTTTTGTAAAATTTTAAATTGTCTTACTTGTCATTCGCCAAATCGACGTTTTCCTCAAGGAAATTTATTAAAAATTCCTTTTGTTCTTCTGAGGCTCTTTTACCACGGACCGATTTTTCCATTTTCATAAAGAAAATTTGTATGAAAAAATATTTTTCAACTGAAAACTTTTTTGATTCAATTTTCATGATTGCATAGAATCGGAATAGCGTACTTTGTGAAAATGTGAAAACACTAGTTTCACTTTCTATCGTTCCTTTCATATGAAAACATTAAAACATATGTTTTTATGTTTTCATAGAACTCGAATCAGTATTTGTATGAAACGGTGAAAAAACTTTTCATTTTACGTTTTCATAGAACCAGAATTGACCCCCAGGTCTTCGTATGGGCCCCACATATCTGTACCTCTCTATATTCGGTATTTTGACGGTTTTAGGTACAATATTCACCGAAATTGTTTGAGATGTTGTACTTGAAGTTCCTAATGGGTATTACAGCCTGAAGAAGAAAATTATCTTTGCAGGTCCTGGTCCTCGTATAGCTCCGATATAACGGTGTCTCCCTATATTCGGTATTTTGATAATTTTAGCGACTTTATTCACCGGAATTGTTTCAAGTTTCAAGCAGGTCTTCGTATAGACCACAAAATAACGGTTAATCCCTATGTACTGTATTTTTTAAATTCTAACAGAATTTATGACGAATTCATTTTTTTTGAAAAGATCCAAATTCTTTCCAAATCGTGGAGGGTATTCAAAAAAAAAAAAAACATTTAAGTTATACATTTTTCCATAAATTGAGAAGCCTTTGGCATCATTCACAAACAGCAGAATTTTCGATAAAATTTCTGGAGACTTTGAAAACACTTTAAGAAATCGAATTCTGTCAAAACAAAGAATTTTCTTTTTAATAAAATTCAAAATTGTTTACTTTTCGATTTAAATTTTGTTTGTTAACGTCAGAGAATATAATAATATAACCTATAGGTAAAACGACTATTGAAAGGATTCTATAGACAGATCACCTTTTTAAAGAATTCTGTCACCAGAAACTCTAAAAGTCTTCTGGAAATTTAAGACTGTTAAACAAATGGTACTCTTTACAAAAATGTTCAAAAATGCCCACTTATGAAATTTCCTCTATTCCCTTTATATACGATTTTTGCATCTGGAAATAATTTATTTGAATGGTTTCCAGGACCATAAATAGACAGATTGAATTCTAAGGAGGTTCTGCAGCCAACAAATTGTCTCACCAAACCAGAGCAGCATTTCATGTATTCTCACCTTCAGTCCGGAATAAGCAATAAATCCTCATGCTGTGAATTAATTCCAATAAAATGTTGTATCTAAACGCACTATTAATTAATCATACCAATTATAGTTGTGTTCCAGTACTTTTTTAGTAGTAAAACTAGCAGAAGAGAGAACAGTTCGAAATGTCATTCTCATTTAGGTTTGCTCAAAAAATAAGGGAACGGAAAATTAGCAGAAATGCGATAAAATGTCAAAATTCAAAATTCCAAAAGTAAACAGCCTAAATCGGACTGGTGAAACCTTACTGAAAAGAGCGCCAACATTTAAAAAATGAGTATTGAAGACGATAAGTTAAAATAAATAATTTATAATAATAATTAATAATCTGATTCCTCATTCAGCTAGTCCTCTTCACTGCTGGAATCATCCAAAAGTGAATACATCAGTTGCTCCATATTTTCTCTTTTTGTTTTTTGCACGACAAATATTAGTTTTTCCTTTAGTTTTCAAGTTGATCATTTTCTTTATTGAAATGTATCAGTACATTTTTCAACCTTGTTAGCCCTGCCAATTAAATGTCAAATTTACAATATGCACATTTCTGCTCGGCCAAATTCATGTAGCTAAAACAAGCAGAAATGTGCACCACTCAGCGCCATTTTTTCTCGAGAGAGCTACAAGTTTTGCTAGTTTTTGGAGTACGGGAACACGTTGTAGCAGAATTAGTTCTAATTAGTACTAATTTGCAGGTTCTGGAACACAACTTATGAAGGTTAATGTTTCTACTACGATAAGCGATTTATAATATCGAAAAAATGCACAAATATTAGATTTCTGCAGGTTTTATGGTATTTGAATTTTCCCTTAAACTATAAAGCCCTATTTAAAAACAAGTGGTTACCAGATTCCAATAAGAAAACAGGGTGGAAAACTAATTGAGAAACTAGCATTGCCAATGTAAAGTATGAAGTGTTTGAATAAATGGCAATGCCTGGAGACAGAGAAAAGCAAAAGGCCTACCTAATGTAAATGCGTTTTACTTATATCAGCTAAGAATGGAAAGTTTTTCTTCAAATTTAAAGATTTTAACCAGATTAAAAGGCATTTGCATAAAAAATGCAATGACACGTTCCGTCTGAACACCATAGAAATGTCATTGGCAATGTCACTATGATTATTGGTATCACAAATTAATTGATAATTTTAAATAATTTATTTTGACTTCTGTTATGATTATTCAAATGTTTGACCGTCTATGATGTGGGTTACGAAGGAATGGCCCAATATTGTCCATTTCCAATTGGACCTAAATAAATATGATCTAAATATTGCTACGTGCCAGGTTTGAGCTATATCGATTACTTCCTTAACTTTATATGTATATGAGATATGTGATAACTTTTCGACAATGTTAAAATATACGTGAGGAGCCAGATACGGTCCACCAAAGAATTCTTCCTTCATACTTCATCTAATACAAATAAAAATATTGGTATGGGAAAAAAAAAAAACAAAAATATTTAAGCAATGTAATTCAAATTTTATGCGAAACCATAAATTCCGCCTTTATAACTAATCTTGTATTGATGAAAATATTGACATGTACCACGTCTCATGGAATCGAATGTTAATTTCGCGTTTCATGAGCTTCATGGATATTTGAAATGTTGTGGAGGAGGTACTTGATGGAGCGGACCAATATTGTCCATTTTCGTACCTAAAGTAGATGGAAATATTAGGATTTGCAAAGTTGTAGCTTAATCGGATCAACCCTTCTCTTTCTGTGCTGTAAAATACTTTTTTGAAAATTTCGACCTTGTGTGGGGGAAGTACCAGGAGTGGACCGATATTACTTATATCCGAACTCTATCTAAGTTTGATAATAATATTACGATGTACCAAGTTTAGAACCAATAGGATACTCCGATTGTTATCATGTGCACCAAACAGTCAGAGAAACAGACAGACGGACAGACATCATTAGATGAACTACAAATGCCCTGAAACGGATTTGGTCACAAGAGACCTAGGTTCTAAAATCGTTATTCCGATGAGGTACGTTTTGTCCGTATCAAATTATATATCCATATGGCTGTGGGTATAAAAACCGCAACCAAATTATATATCCTTATGGCTGTGGGTATAAAAAACGCAACCCTGAAGCAAGACTCTTCTAACTTCATAATTGACACATGTCACAATATTTTATGCTATGACAAAATCATGAAAAACTAATGGAACGCCGCGGATTTTTCACAATATCGAGTTCCGAATATGGTTATTCTTTTTTCACCGAAAAACACTCACATTTGTCTCTCCAAAAGCTATAAATATGAATTTACAGATAAGAATACATAAAACGCTTTTTTGACTGGCCTAAAGGTGAGGGTACATAATAAACTTGGCATCACGGCCAGGTATATAAATGTCAAATTATAAAGGGCAATGACGGCTCTGGCATCCCTTTATAATATGTCACAAAATATGCCCTGCGAAGACTTCAAGCTGTGTATGTACTCTCACCTTAAGACACCGGTTGGCTTCTTCGTATAGGAACAAAGGAGTTTTAAGTTAACTTATTTCGAATTTGGCCCTACACTCCTTTGTTCTTTTCTGAAGAAGCCAGCCGTTGCCTTATGCCAGTCAAAAAAAACGTTTTATTTATTCTCACCTTAAATTTCAATAGAATTCCAAAATTATTTACTATGAGAAGAAAAAATTGCTCTTTTCTCAATTTTTGCAAATTTTTTCAGAAAGGGATAGTTTTTTATAGCAGTAAAAAGTTTTACATTCTTGCAGTTCTGTACCGACAAGGTATTTCACACCAGAGTCTAACTTATAACATCGCTGTAACTTACCATTTGGAATTATAATGCATTGGAACGATGAAAATTGCTTTATGTATCTCCAAATTAAACATTTTCATCATTTAAAGTCTAATAATTAAATAGTCGAAAGTCGACCTACGTATCCCTACTCACTTTGTTGTTAGTTCCCTTTTGTCATTGGCAATGCAACCGCGTTGTTGGCAATGCGACACTGAATCTTCTTCCTTTCAGTCTCTTTTTTAACATTCTCTCATTCTCTGTTTCGCCAGAATTTCTCACATTCTTCCATTCCCCCCTTTCATTGTGAATGTTGGATGACAGTTTCAGGTTTTTTTCAGTTCCTTTTTTAACGCGAGACAGTCTAGACGGTGGTCGTAATGCTGTGCTGGGTGTAGTAGAAAAAAAAAGTTCAATTGAAACAATGAACCGATCAATAAATATCATTAAATTACATTGAACGACAACAACAAAAAAAGTGAACAACTAAATTTAATATGGAAACAAAAACAACAAACTATTGTAAAAGAAATTAAAAAAAACGCAAAGTTTTCGTCTAAACAAACGGGGAATAGAAGGCGAAAACCCTACAAATTTTTTTATAATTATTTTAACAAAAAAATCCAATACCAAAAAGTACAGTGTATGTGGTAATATATTGTGGATTTAATAAGTAAAAGAAGAAGAAGCAGCAGCAGCATAGCAGACACACAAAGTAGAGAAAGAAAGAAAAATCAAACCGCACACTCGTACACACACACACACACAGAAAGAAAAATTGTTAGAGAAACGACAACGAGGAGGGCCAACAATCAGAAGAAGAAAAAAACCAATGCAAGGCAGCCAAGCACAAGCATGGAAATAAAAAAAATGTGAAAAGATAATCAAATGTTTGAATAAAAGATGAGAAGTGTAAGGGGAGAAGATGATGATGGTGGTAGTGATGTATGTACGTGTGCGTTGTGTGATGTGAATAGAAGAAACAAGTGAATAACAAAAAAAAAAAGTATACAAATAATAATAAAACAAAAAAAAAACACATGACATGAATGTGTAAGCGAAGATTACAGCAAAAAAAAAACAAAGTTGAAAGTACAACAACATTTCATTTTATATATTACAACAATAAAGCCAAATTAAATCAAAGATAATAGAAAAAGAAGAAGCATAAATTTATGATGTTTAGAAATTAAATGCCACAGTGCGATAGATAGAGAGAGAGAGAGAGCGAGAGCCAGTGTTGTGTGTGTTTTTTATTCGAGTACAAGAACCCCCCACAACTGGGTCTGAGAGTGTGTGAGCGTAAGAGAGACTGCACACGGGAGAATAATAACATGATTGGTGTACGTGATGTACATGTTTTTCTTGACGGAGACGGGCAAACGGAATTCAACGGCCGCCGCCGCTGCCGACTTTGTATTGTGAAGTGTGTTCAGTGAGTGCATGAAAAGTATTTTCTTCTTGTTTTTTATTTGTTGGGTTTTGGTGAGAACGAAACAAAGCAAACCACCAACAAAAATATATTATCAAAGAGGCTGAGAGAATCAATGCAAAGAGCAGAAGAAATAGTGTTCAATCAAACTAGCAGCAAGCAACCAACAAGAATTAAACAGAAATAGAAATACAAGAGGAGGAAAAAGGAAGAAGAAGAGGAGCAACATAAAAAGAGGTGTGTATTTTTATTATCAAATGAACCCCAAAAATAATGTTGGGCTAAAACGGTAAAATCTTATAGACGGGAATTAAATTAAATGCATCAAAACAAAGGACTACAATTGACAAAAATGTCATGCAAAGAAGAATTTATAAAAATGTAAAAAAGAAAAAAAAAAAACAAAAAATCAAATTGTGTGTATATTAAAATCCATAAAAGTTTTTTTTCCTTTCGTTGCGTTTCGTTTCAAACAAAGCAGGCAACAAAAAGCATTAAGAAGAAAAAAATATAAGAATTTCATGGCAAAGCAAAATTAGATGAAAACGAACGGCGAGACAAACGGCAAGTGAGTGAACCATACAAAAAAAAAAAAAAAAACTGTGAATTGTTGAGACAACGACGACCAAAGCAACAGCAACAACAAATAAAATACACACATACGCCACTTGGATTATAAATAATAAAAAAAGAATTTTTATTGGTAATAAAAAAGGAAATTTTATTGGTGTTGTAAACTCGAAGAGGTGTATTCTCACAAAAAGAACCCATAAAACCAAGACAAAACAAAGAAACTGTAACAAATGCATTAAATATAAATTTAAATTGGTTTTTAAGTAAAAAAAAATTAAAGATTTAATGAAAGCCAACAAAAACTACCCAAAATATGTTTCTGGCAAAATGTATTGTGTGTTGTGTCTTTTCGTGGTGCATTTGAGAGAGAACAAATTGAAAGAGAAATCGTTAAACGTTTAACAATTAAACTATTTTAAGTAGTAAATAAAAAACGTAATCTTTGTATATTAAAATAACTAAATGTTTGTGAAAAAAGTGAGTGAAGTCCCCCTTTTCCAAAGAAATTAAAATCTATTGTTTGGGAGTTTCCCTCCCATTGCAAATTGTCTGTCAAATTAGAAGTGTTGCCATCTTCTTCATACAAACATCCCATTAAATGGGGGGCCCAAACAGTGTTGTGCAAATATTTTGTTTACATTAAATGGATAAGTGATTGTGCAAAATTATGTGTTTAAATTTACAAAGAAATGTGTGCTTTGGAACTAGAATTTCGTGAAAAGTTTTAAAAAATTAGAAATTTTGTGAAATTTTTTGAAAGGGATCTATAGGCCTAAAAGTGGAAAATAGAAGTTTTGAGGTAAAGGGCCAAACAAAAATAGAATTTTTCAAGCAAAATGTTTTGAAAATATTTAAAAATTCATCTATTATGGTGGGGCCGGGCTCTCGGGCCTTTTCTGATATTGAAAACAAATAGAATTTTTGCAAATGAGGGCGAAATGAAACATTTTCAATTAGAATTTTATGTTTGCAAGAGGCTTCTTCTTCCTTCGCAAACTGGTTAATGTTATAGACTTCCTGAATAATTGTGAAAGTTTTAGAAGCCAACTTTCTTACTAAATTTTGGAAATTCTCCGATTTTTTTTTAATTTTTTTTCAGAGAAAGATATTTTTATCCCGTTTTCGGAAATGTATTTTTTGATGAACTAAAAATCTAGATTCAATACCCTATCCGATATGAACTTATATGAAAGTGGTCACAAAAATTATATTTTTTTCTAAACCCCACATGGAAAGGTAAGAGTGTCAGCTTTAATTTGGCATCAATTTGGTTGACCCCCATAATGGGCCCTTTTTCGACTTTTTTGGGGTTTTATAAAAAATTTGGGTTCAAAAAATCAATAATTAGACTATAAATTCCGAACCGCTTAAAAATTACACCATCATGGGACTTGTGACACTTGTTGGATTAGTATTTTCATAAGCTTTCAAACGGGTAAGTGGATCCGGGTCCAGCCCGGGTCTTGAACGCGGACTTTTGGGTAAAAAATCTGGGGTCCCGGTCTGTCCCCCAATAAAAAAATTGTTTCCCGGGATCGGGTAAAAATACCTATTACTGGAAAAAATTAAAAAAAAAAAATTGAAGAGTTTGTACTAAACTAGAGTTAAGCCAAATCTTGCAAGGGGTCTATCAGACAAAAATAGGATTTTTCAAGCAAAATGTTTTGAAAGTATCTAAAACTATTTTACTATGGCGGGACAGGGCCTTCGGGCATTTTCTTATACTGAAAACAAATTAAATTTTTGCAAATGAAGGCGAAATGAAATATTTCTAATCAGAATATTATGTTTGCAAGAGGCTACATCTTCGAAAACAGGTTAATTTTATAGATTTCCTGAATGTGAAAATTTCAGGAGTCAACAAGACCCCTAACGAAAAAAAAATCCAGATAACTAAGAACTTGAATATTAAAAAATGTTTACCCTTTGTGGGGGATATACCAGAAGGGATGGACATATGTATTCTATCTTCACACCAGACATTGGGTTAATAAAAATATTGTGATGTATGTAAATTGAAGACAATCGAACTCTTGCATCACCATTTATAAGAGCTATAATTATTCCAAAGTTTTACCCTTTGTGGGGGAGGTACTTGATGGAGTGGACCGATATAGTCCATTTTCGCACCTGACCTAGATCTGATGCAAATATTAGAATTTACAAAGTTGGCGCAAAATCGTATCTAAGTTTGATAATAATATTCGATGTACCAAGTTTGGATCAAATCGGATAACCTTTTCGAGAATTATAGTGCGCATCAACTAACCAGACAGACAGATGGACGAAAGGACGGACATCGCTAAAACGACTCCGACGACATGATCGGTTTGGAAGTTATAGCACAAAAATCATTTTTTGGGACCGTTTTTGGAAAAAAATCGGAAAAGCGACCATTATGGAGTTCCACAAATTTAGTTAACATTCAAACCGTTCCAAAATGGTGCCACATGTGTCAAGAAATTTACCTGAATCCTGTAATATGGGGTCTTTGAACCCGTTTAATCTGCTTCTGTTCAGATCATTGAAATGTTGTATTGAATTGAAAAAAACTACAGAGGAGAAAACTTCACCGAAAAAAGAATAAAAATCGCTACCTCTTCACTGGAAATCTGGAAATCTTTTCGAGACATCAAAAATAAGGAGGAATTGTTATATATGGGAGCTACAACAAAAGGTGATCCTACACATCATATTTTTTGTGAACTATTGGAATTACCCATTGAGAATCCGAAACATCAAATTTCAGCAGATTTTATTGGCGATTGTGTTTGAAAACTTTAAAATACTGGAAAATAGAAGGTACCCTTTTAGAGGGACCTATACCAAAAAATAGACCTACATTGAATTTTTTGTGAGGAGTAAGTAAATCTTCCCATTGAGAACATAAAATGCAAATTACAGCTGAGTTTGGTAGCAAATTGCGGCAGATGCCTTCAAAATACCCAGAATCAAGAGGTACTGTTAAATGGGGGACTATACCTAAACGCAGACCGATCTCTTTCATTTTCAATGGCAGACTTCCTTGGAATATTATCAGTGCCAGTATTCAATGTCAAAACCCTGCTTTTTCATTAGCAAGGGTTCTATCGCCATTTCAACAGACGGACGGACGGACAGACATGGATAAAAAACAAAGGAAATTACTATAATTAAAAAATTTCAATTTATATGGTATCTGAAGATTTTTTTAATGTGTTGCAAATTGAATAACAATTTTTATATTCCCTCTACTTCATGGTACAGGGTATTAAAATGGAATTTTTGCGGTTGTTCGGTTTTTGGGTGGTAATTGATGAATTTCTACCAGAAGTTAGAACTTTTGTATCCAACTCTAGTTTGGCAAACACTCTTAGATTTTTTCGAAAAATTTTCCAGAGGTAGGTATTTTTTTTGGTGTCGGAAAAATTGGGGGACAGACTCGGGACCCCATATTTTGGACCTGAAAGTCTGGGTTCAAGACCCGTAACCACTTACCCGATAAATACAATAAAGTTATCGTTTGAAAGTTTATGAAAATACCAATCCAATCACATGGTGAATTATTTAAAGCGGTTAGGAAATTATAGTCAAATAATCGATTTTTCATAAAACCGCGAAAAAGTCTAAAAAAATTACAAAATGCTACAATTTGCGCTAATACCCACCATGTTACCATGATGGATAGGCATTTTTATATATACCTATATTGTCTATGTCGGGTAAGTGGATGCGGGTCTAGCCCAGGCCTTGGAAATCTGGGGTCTCGGGTCCGTCCCCAAAAAAAAAGTTATTCTCGAAATCAGGTTAAAAATACCTACCACTGCAAAAAAATTCAAAATTCAATTCCGCTGAAGTACATTGAAGAGAAGGTCTTCACTTTCAGCAGAAGCAGTGAGATTAGACTGCTTGGTCAAAGCTAGATAGTCATATGATCCGGGACGGCCTGTAGAGGCCTTTAAATGGGACATATATGCTCAAAAAGCAATGTAAAGGTTTTCCAAAGTCAAAAGCCTTCTCTACATTTATACTGAGTCCCACTTTGACCAAGGAATTACTTTTTGGCCAATACAATGATCACAGTAGCCCTTCCATTTCCGCGGAAAGACAAGATATAGTTTGGTGTTTTTTTTTTTTTAATTGATTTCCATGCAGCCATATTGTCCATTTCCGAAATCGATCAATTTTTGATTAAAATAGTTTCAATCTCAGCCGGCCAGACAAACAGACAGATGGACGGAGGGATTTGTCTGAATTGAGTCCAAATATCACAAAACGGATTTCGCAACCTAAGAAACATGGAGTCTAAAACCATTATTTTCGCTATACCAAATGAGGGTTGATTCTGAGGATATAATTCAAACTTTAGGTCTTCTACTGTCCATAGAAGAGCTGGAGGTCTCCTATTGTCCAAAGAAGAGCTCGAGGTCTTCTATTGTCCATAGAAGACCTAGAGGTCTTCTATCGTCCATAGAAGATCAGGAGATCTTCTATCGTCCATAGAAGACCTGGAGATCTTCTATCGTCCATAGAAGACCTGGAGGTCTTCTATTGTCCATAGAGGACCTGGGGGTCTTCTATTGTCCATAGAGGACCTGGAGGTCTTCTATTTTGCATAGCAGACCTGGAGGTCTTTTATTTTCCATAGCAGACCTGGAGGTCTTTTATTGTCCATAGAATACCTG